AGCACCACTATCAATATACTGGGAATATAAACTTGTGCTATATAATAACCAAATAGTCTCTGTAGGGTAAAATCTGTCTGTATACAAGTATAATCACCTGAAATCAAGGCAAATAAAAATTATTTATTTATTTGTTTTCTCAGAAGACCAGGGTAGATGGTACGAGGTTCCGCCCACATCCTCAAACAACCCTGGCACCACAGATCTTTCCATTCCCCAAAGATTGGCAATGTCTGTAATATTGTAACCTTTATTGAATGTCAAATACAACGAGGCATCATGAATAATACTAATCCAGATGATCCACTGTACTATTAATCAAACGAAAGTCGAAATACGGTAATAACATGTATCAGCAATCTATAAAAAAAAAACAGCAAGACATTTGGATATCATGGTATGATATTTTTCATCATGTGATATGATATATTTGCATACCGTTATATTTTATTTCTACATACCATGGTATAATATTCCTCTATACAATGAGTTGGTATTTCCTATTATTTGAAAACTAAGATTGTAAGCAACATTCCATATAATATCAAAGTGTGTAATAAAAACCATGTACCTTGAAATATATATTACTTACATTTCTAGATCAAAGGAAGGAAATCAGTCAATAGAATAATTATAATAACTATAAGAATAAGTAGTGGTAGTGATTGGTGAGTAGTGCTCAGTACTATAAATAACGTATATAATTCAAAACATCCTTTCAACATAATAATGGACTGATCGTTTTAAGAGCAATTATCTGATTATTTGGTGATTCGTACCAAAAGCGCAATTCAGAAGCGGAGTGAATAAAAGTGATGACCTTCTGAATTAAATCAACAAAATAGAAGTGGACCTCCCGTCTTGCTCACAACATCTACATGTATTTGTCAAAAGATTCAAAACTGAAACTTATGAAAATTTAAATCAAGTCCAGGTGGCTTCTGCCAAGGAACGAATAAAGGAAGTGGTTGCACCACAATGACAAATTTTGTGCGGCGACCAATATTTTTTTTATTCCATTGATCATGTCGTACCAGTGTCAATAAGTATATGACTAAAATTATGAGAACGAATTTAAAAAAACATTCATTTGTAAAATAGTATGAATCACACAATTTAATCTGATAAAACTTTCCCAACACTTTAACAACAACTTCGAGAACCATCTAAATAAATTAAATTAACAACTACAAGCAACATCTAAATAAACTTACCTTGCAAGCACCTTAAATAAAGGACTTCGAGAGCCATCTGAATAAACTAAGAAACATCTAAAGACACTTACCAACTATCATATTACCATCATCAAAATCGTAATCACAACTGTTTTTCACATTTCCACTGTGCACTTTAAATCTTGGTAATGTCAGACCTTTTCTCATGATAATAGGTTGACTGTGCCATTCATATTTGACATTATCTGAACTGTAACTATCTGAAACAAATTCTTCTCATTACATAACGAGGGGAAAAGTGCATCATTTAGTTTTACGCGTAGATGTGTCATTTTTAATCAGACAGTACACTGATATGGTTTATAATAATATACATCGATGGAAATATTTATATTATAGCTTTATTATAATTAATTCAGATTAATTATATCTGCATTTCAAACAAAACTACAATTATTAAACCAGCTATACAACCAGCGGAAATTTCGACTGTTGAAATATATCTTTATTAATTTTCTTTATTTTATTTGTAATTCATAAAACAATATATATACAGGTAAGAGATCTTTAAATTTCTCTAGAAAAATAGTTGACACCTCAAATGGTACCCCCACTTTATTTTCAACTAATTCAAAAATATGTTTTCATACGTTTGTTGCTAAATGTGTTCGAATGCATCAATTCAATTTTTCAAAAATGTTCTTGGGAGAACGGTCTGAGAAGCACTATGAGTTGTTTGCAACTATGACACCTGTACAGAGTTGCCGTATTTTGAATCCAGCTTCGACAATGACGTCCTCTCGAGAGGTTGGCAACTAACATCAAAACAGGGCTCATTCAAGCATAATGTGGAAAGCTGGATTCAGGAATGTTTCTATTTGAACGTTTACACAGAGGCTACAATTAAGTTATTTTAGCTTACATGTATAATAGGATACATTACATGTATTTATTATAGACAAAGAGTTTGATTTCATTAGATCTTACTTGTCTCGGTAATTTTATATTAGCATCTACTGGGACTTATTTATGTCCTATAATTAGAACATAATACAATCATTATATATTCATAATAATCCAATATTACTTACAACTTCCAATACGTAAGGAACACGTTTGTTCATCGTGTGGATATCTTTGTAAATACATATCACAGCTTGCTGTTAAAGATATTCTGAAAGATAAAAAGATTTACATCCATAGATTTGCATGTCGGATTGAGCTCAATTTTCTTAAAAAAAATAAATTATAGGGTTTTAATTCAGGCTTCTCAAACTTACCAGACACATTTTCTACCTCAGTGTTTTTTTCCTTTTAGAGTACGAAATTACTTCGAGAACAAATATACGAATATCAATGGCTTTCGAATATTTTATAGCTACGACATGATTATGAATTATGTCTATAGTTTGACACCATTAAACATATCGAATTTAGAATGCTGGATCATGTGTTACAAACCTTATACTTGACTGTATGGAACCATTTCTATAAATATGTAGCAATCTGTTTTCTACTGTAACATCGTGTATTATGGCTGTTTTCTCATTGACAAAATAAATATCAGGCATCCAGATTTTATCCATTAACTTAGAATCTATTTCTAATCTTTTTAACTTATCAGATTTACTGTCTGTCCATTGTAATCTTGAATCTGTCCAATTAGTTCTCAGAAATATACTCACTGAAAAATCCTGAAAAGAAAACAGACTCGGTCAGCTGCAACTCAACCTTGCTGTCAAAAATCTTGGCAAAAACATAATATTGATTCATTGATTTCAAGATGTAATATGATACGTTTTATAATGTTAATCCGACGTCGGGTTCGTTAAAAATAAAATGAAAACAATGGATATTACAGGCGTTAATAATTCTTAATGTTTCAGTTCTCATTCTTTCTCCCTAAAAGTATTCACGTGTGCGTTACGTAAACGCTTAAAGAAACAAAACAATGGAATTTTTCTATTCTTCCCAAACAAAAAATTAACTAAAGTTGTTTCATGAGCTTATGATATACTGTAAGTTATAACAGATGTATTTCTTTTGTCTCCAGAAAACATTAATTCATATGCATGATTCCCATAAAACTATATGTCTTGAAACAAAATCACGATAATCTGGAAAATGTATACGAGTTATTCCCATTTCCTGTAACAATTATATATTTAAATCAAACCAAAGATTTCATTGAAATTCAAACACGTTATAATTATCATTGGCGGAATTTATTGTCTGTAGAGGAAAAGGTAAAACCATTAATCCTCATAAAATAATTTCCGTATTAACAGTGTAGATAAATATATACTATTATCACGTCTAGCTTCAAATATTTCAGTTTAATAACTTATGGCACGAAACGATCGACGATACATTTGAGGAGTTCTATTAATAAAATATATCACTGGTAAAAAAAAATTAATTAATCGTTCTTTATTTCAAGGAAAGAGTTAATGTTATATCGCAAAGTATACACAAAGTTTCAGAGAAGAAATCAAAGTTCCTCATTTACTTTTAGCTAACTTATTCTTTAGACACATTTCCAATCAATCCAACACCCACACAGTGAAAGTTAAGATTTAATTCATGCACATCAGTCGCATAAGTCAAAATGAGATATTTTTGATAGCAAAACATATTGCTTCGGCAAATACGCCAAATCTCTCTATGATACCTTCACGTCCATGTCACGAGAATAATTAATTATTTAAGCTAAGATTGGATCTGTATTATATCATGTAAGTCAGTCAAGAATCGTATATACCAGGTGCACCTGCCTGTCAACTTGCCACTGTAATTGTTTATTCTACCAGCATGTTTCAAGGGACGAACCTAATTCAGTTTCCAGCTTTCGTGGATTCAAATATGATATATATAAAGAAAGAAACAAACATATAATTGTCAATATTCTGATAGCACCATGACAAAATCCGACTGTTGAAATAAACAACCTTCAGAAATTCCAGCGTCTATCTTTATTCAAATTAAAACGTAATATAAATACCAGGTTTCTTTACATGTACTCCATCACTAGACGTTCAAATTAATGTTTACAATGTGAAGTTACAGAAAGACGCCTTCTTGGCTTGAAAGGGGAAGCACATGCGTGTTAAAGAATTAATGAACATCTCATTATAATGAGTTACATACCATAGCTGCTTCGTTGACAGTATCAAAACTTAACACATATATCTGTACTGTAACGTTCGTAGGAAAATCTAAAACAAAGTCCTAGATTAAAGTGGCCAAACTAAAAGCACCCACGACAAAAAGTCTTCTTTATGATCATCAGATTTTTATGGTTGTCAAAAGACATAGATAAAATAAAAATTTTAAAAATAGCGGTGATATCCAGCAATAAATTATATATTAAGAAATACTTTAGTGAGTGATGATTTTAACACAACATATACTACTGGTTTTATACTTGGACAAGATATTTTAATTTACTTACCGTCTTCATAATTAGGTGGTATCATTGGGTCATAGGTTTTATTGTTATTTACTAGAGAATTGATGATGGCTTGCCTGAAAAGTAGAAGTAATAATCATTAACAACAGCAACGTTTTGGGTGAAATTCTGGTTAAATTCGGCGAGTTGGATGTTACCATCATATTTTTCCATCAGCTTATCCTCTGTCAGTGATAAAGAACTGAGGGGATGGTATGATAAAGGCGTCGTATTGTTCGGATCGGAAAATAGGCCTTGGCCCGGAGTGCTATAGAAACCTTACATGAAAAACAACATATTGGCAATGCATTGGTAACAGCAAATAAACTTTTCATGTGAGGAAGTATATCAATCCGTGTTTAAGACTCAGTTTAAAATGGATAAAGAAAAAGCCATTGCCACTGCCACCGCCCTGGTAAATTTTCTCTCATTGCTAACTGCATTGAACAGTTGCCATTAGCCATCGCTTCCGCCGATTTCTTTTCAGTCAGAATCTGCCAGTTGTGTTAGAAAAAGCGCCACCGATTTCATTCAACCGATATTCGCTAATTTGTAATCATCACAAAACCCCAGTTAAGTTGCTTTTCTCAAATACTTAAACCACTTTATATGAATCATGTCGTGTTTGTATGTATATTAAACGTCAAAAATTAATGACATTTAATTAAGGAAATCCGTTTTAGCCGCTTGATTCATCTGATTCTTTTGGTTAGCTAATTCAGCTATAGTCAGAAACTGGCCAGCTGAAAAAATCTTATGAGCCGGTCGCTTTCAGCTACTAACCAATCATTTTTTATAAAGTAAATCGGATCAAAATTCTAACTGCGTGGAAGGTCGCTTACCCGTCTTCTGGAGCAGAAAGGTAAATTACCATCTCATTTAGTCGCAATTATATGTATGTTAATGAAATTTTAATGCAATTTAAACTCGATATTCCAAAAGAATAAATTCAGCCACTTCAATGTGTCAATATTACGGTACCTATAAATCTTTCACTGTAACATCGTGCATTATTTCCCATAGGATATATATTTCGTCATCGCCATAGTAATTATATTTTAACCTACAGGTTGACAGAAAATTCCCGTTGTTGTTAACAATGAAATCGTGAGTGAAAAAACACATTAACATGATAAGTTTCAGACATCGAAGATAAAAATCAAACAGAAGCCATGATTAAACTATAGATCAACATTGTGTAAACCGACACATTTTTTGTTTTGTCTCGATTTTGTCTTGATTTTGTCTTGATTTATTATAATGAAACAAAATGTACATGTATAGTCTTGCTTCCTTTCAAATTGAGAACTATTGACTTATCGCCAAATACAAAAGAATTCCGGGATCGGATCGTAGCAAATATGTTTCTTTGGATAGTCAATTTTTTATCAAAAATAAACCAAAGAGTAATGTGTGGACCTATTGACTTGACAAGATTTCATTCTTCATGGCGCCTTCAGTGGTTCAACACAGAAAAGTAAGAGATAAATATGTCAGACAATCACGGGCAAAATATATAAATCTATTAGAGATATGTATGACAATAATTAACTCAATTTCAGTCAAAAAAAAAACGTAATAGTGAGAGTAAAAATCCTTCAAATCACAGTCTGAAAAACAGATCCAGAGCCTTCAAAACAGATCTAGAGTCTTCAAAACATATCTAGAGTCTTCAAAACAGATCGAGAGTCTTCAAAACATATCTAAAGTCTTCAAAACAGATCTAGAGTCTTCAAAACTTATCTAGAGTCTTCAAAACATATCTAAAGTTTTCAAAACAGATCTAGAGTCTTCAAAACTTATCTAGAGTCTTCAAAACAGATCCAGAGCCTTCAAAACAGATCTAGAGCCTTCAAAACAGATCTAGAGCCTTCAAAACATATCTAGAGCCTTCAAAACAGATCTAGAGCCTTCAAAACATATCTAGAGTCTTCAAAACATATCTAGAGTCTTCAAAACAGATCTATAGTCTTCAAAACAGATCTAGAGTCTTCAAAACATATCTAGAGTCTTCAAAACAGATCTAGAGCCTTCAAAACAGATCTAGAGTCTTCAAAACAGATCTAGAGTTTTCAATATTAGTACTATTATATCCATTTAACGTGTATTTTCTGGACGTTTCTTTTTTGACGGCTTACCGAATCTATAAAGCTTCTTTCTCACATCTTGCTATTATGTCAGCTATGAGTTTAAATGTAACCGCATTGCCAATTTCGTGTTAAAACGGGATATGATATATTAACACAGACAATATTCAAAGTGGCAATTCTTCGCAATAAGAACAGTAATGGTGAAATCTAGAATAAATTTGACAATTTATAACTTGACTTCTGGGACTGACTATATCATCAACTAACGGTAGAGTTTATGTATTATTAATACAGTATCGTCTACACTCTACAATCAAACTACAAAATTATACCTTCATATTATTCTGTTATCAAGGTAAAGTACAGATGGCTTTACAGTATTCAAAGAAGCGACAACAAAAATAACACTTCTTAACTAATTAATAAGAGTTTCGAGTTCCTTGATGTCAGGGTTATAAAAACTGTATTGTATGTTCGACGACAGTATGTTAAATTCATTGGTCTTTGTTAGTAAAAACTTTATATTGAATCGGAGTCAATTTACCCCCCTCTGACACTGACATCAGATATATTTGAAGGCTGATATTGGACTGGAATCTACAGAACCTCCTCAGTCTTGCAGACTACTGAATTTTTACCAACATAGTTACATACCCTTTGCCGGCGTATCTTCATCTCGTTATCTTTAGATATCTTCAAACGTCAAAAAATGATAGTATCATACAATTCTACATCAAGTAGGTTATAAAATGTTTGAAGTGTATTGTAGTAGGCTAATGTGTATAATATTTAAGATAGAGAAATTGGTTGGAATCTATGACAGCTATAAAGATGTTAGATAGCAAGATTTCTTATCTCTATCACGAGATGTTACTTATTAGAAGATAGAAGTAAGACAAATTACATTTAAATCTAATAATGATTGTAAGGAATGAATGGAATACTTCTGGTTGTTTTCAGACCAACCCAAGATCAATGTCACTGAGAGGAAAATATTATTCTGGGTCATTATTTCACAAATACTGTGAAACAATTATTA